TTACACACTCACACACACACACTCACACACACAAATACACATTGTATATGGCCAAGTATGTTTAAAGAAAATGGCATAGTGTGTTTGTGCTTGTGGTTTGTGTTTGTTTACAGTGCTTGTGGTTGGGTTGTCTTGCAGATGGTCATTATGGTAGTGAGCACATACATCGTGGGTTGTCTGCCTGAAAGCAAGATGAAGAAAAAGCTAAATAATCGAGTGTCAGTCTTCTGCTTCGACTTCCTCAGCGGGGCTCTGTCGCTTGTGTGTACCTATCATAACCAGGAGAATGTTCCTCAGCGGGGCATCTGTGTAGCCAATCACACCACTCCCATTGACGTACTTGTACTGGCTTGTGACAATACGTATGACTTGGTATGTAGTTTGCTCCATTTTCATGTTATGGTTTAGTTATTTTTATCATTGTCATCGTCATCCTTGCTCTTATCTTTGTTTTTATCTTTGACATTATCCTTACCCTCCTCCTCTCCTCTCCTCTCCTCTCCTCTCCTCTCCTCTCCTCTCCTCTCCTCTCCTCTCCTCTCCTCTCCTCTCCCTCCCTCCCTCCCTCCCTCCCTCCCTCCTCCTCCTCCTCCTCCTCCTCCTCCTCTCTCTTTCTCCTCCTCCTCCTCCTCTTTCTCCTCCTCCTCCTCTTTCTCCTCCTCCTCCTCTTTCTCCTCCTCCTCCTCCTCTTTCTCCTCCTCCTCCTCCTCCTCTTTCTCCTCCTCCTCCTCCTCCTCTTTCTCCTCCTCCTCCTTCCTCTTTCTCCTCCTCTTCTCCTCTTCTCCTCCTCTTCTCCTCTTCTCCTCCTCCTCTTCTCCTCCTCCTCCTCCTCCTCCTCTTTCTCCTCCTCCTCCTCTTTCTCCTCCTCCTCCTCCTCCTCCATGACAATTCATCAAACGTCAGTTGTCTCTACCTCTCATCAGCCATCATTTGAGTAGAAACAAAAGGAGAAATAACTAAATGATATTGAAGTATAGTAGATATTTTCTATATATCAGGGTCCTTATCTCTAATTGTAATATTGTCTTTGTGTTTGATGTGGATTTTAGGAATTTTATTGCAATGCTATTTTTACTGGACTTTCAAGTTTATAAATGTTCTTTGAAAATATATAAGATTTGGATGGATTTACTCTATTATTATTAAGGCAGGAATAACTTGTGTGATATTCTTTTTGGAATACATATTATCCTTATACTGATGACATCCCCTTAATGGCACTGAACTTTGTAGGTTGGACAGAGGCATGGAGGTTTCCTAGGAATATTTCAGAGAGCGCTATCAAGAGCCTCTGCCCACATCTGGTTTGAGCGGTCAGAATCCAAGGACAGGTATGCTGTGGCAAGGAGATTACGAGAGCACGTTGAAGATCCTGAGAAACTGCCAATCCTGATCTTCCCCGAGGGCACGTGCATCAACAACACGTCAGTTATGCAATTCAAAAAGGGGACATTTGAAGTGGGAGGCATCATTTACCCAGTGGCTATTAAGGTGTGGTTTTAAAGGTGTTCTTATTGGCTATTTGATTATTTGAATAATATATATATTTTTTCTGAACTAAATTTTAAGGGCCCAGTGTAAGGACTTGGCCCGAAGGTCTTGGAAGTCATAGATTTTGAGTCTATCAATTTTATGCACTGAATGATATGTATATGTCCATGTGGCAAAGTTAATGGCATTTAATTACTATTAGATATAAACATAACATGTATTCATTATGCTCCCATTTTATAAACCCTTCCTCTTGAATCCCCTAAAAGTAGCCAAGTAATCAACAACAACAACAAAAAGAAAAGAATAGCACCATATAAGCAGATTTCTTATGTAATAATTTTGTGATTTAGTAATCATTATTATCTAATTTTACAGGATTCAAGTTCTTGTCTTTCTTTCACAGTATGACCCAAGGTTTGGTGATGCTTTTTGGAACTCTTCTCGGGACTCCATGGTAAGCTATATCTACATGATGATGACGTCGTGGGCTATTGTATGTGACGTTTGGTACCTTCCACCAATGACAAGAAAGGAAGGAGAAAGCTCAATTGAATTTGCTAATCGTGTTAAAGCAGAAATCGCACGTCAGGGCGGACTTGTTGATCTCGTTTGGTAAGTTAATTCTCTGTTTTTTTATTTTTTTTCATTTTCTCTCTCTTTCTTTTTCTCTTTCTCTTTCTTTCTGGCAAACTCCATTTCTCCAGCACCTGCTTTTACTCTTGCTTCTCATTCTCCTCCTCCATCCTCCATCCTCTCTCCTCCTCCTCCCTCCTCCCTCCTCCCTCCTCCCTCCTCACTCCTCCTCCTCCTACATCCTCCTCCTCCATCCTCTCTCCTCCCTCCCCCCTCTCCCCTCCTCCCTTTTATTCTTTTTTTTTTTGTGATAGATATGGTATATATATATCTTTGATTTGTATATCATTATCCCTTTTTTTTATAGCTAGATTTAAATTCTCTCCTTTTTGCGTCCAGGGATGGTGGGCTGAAGCGCTCTGCTCCCAAGAAG